ATATTAAAAATATGACAATTTGCATTTAATAATAAAATATTAGCTGAAGAATAAGAGAAAAGTGTAAAATAATTTATGAAACAATTTTTTTATATTAAAATATTTTATTTAGCAGAATCTCGTATATTTGAATCTCCAATATTTGTTACAAGCGTAAGAAAAATTGTCGAAAATCTTACAAGTTCATAAAATAAATATATAAACAAAAAAAATCTAAAAGAAGAAAAAAAAGAAACATCTATTTATTTTACGAATACTTGTAAGATTTTTGGCAGTTTCTCTTACCCTTGTAACAAATGTTGGTACGAGATTCTACCAAATAAAATATTTTAATATAAAAAAACCGTTTCATAAATTATTTTACACTTTTCTCTCATTCTTCAGCTAATATTTTATTATTAAATACAAATTGTCATATTTTTAATATATGTGAATTTATTTGTAATATATGTAAAATATATAAAATATGTTATAATTTTTAAGAATTGTTTTAACAAATTTTACGTAGGCGATTAATGAACTCCTATTTACTGATAACGAGTACGATACTGACGCTGTGTTCGATGCACATGCGCCAGAAACGCGGCCTGACCTGTATCACTGGTCGGGTCAAGACAGTAAATCGAATATGCTATTCTATAAGTACGTTGTAAGTTTATGTGGGCTACGGAATATACACTTTTGATAATGGTTGGATATTGTCGTATTTGCAAAATAGGAGTAGGAGAGGAAATTGATGTATCCTTTCATCGGTAAATATATTTTTACGAATATAGAATATATGTCACAGTCAAAGTGTTAACTCAGTAAATGCATACATTTACTGTTTTTGCTCTAGTCGGTTGGTCAGTGTATACATTTACTAAAGTTGACACTTTGACTGTGACATAAATACATAGATAATAAATAATAAAATTTGTTATGTATATCAAAAAGTATATGACAAATTTTGTCAAATGATTCAATAAAACATGATTTTTTACTATATGTAAACGGAATCAAATTAATTTCATTAATATGAACTATGATTGATTTGTTATATTTTGCACAATTTCAATAACTTAATATGAAATAAATATAAATAGTTTAATAATAGACGAATATAAATAGCTTAATAATAGACAAATATAAATTTGAGATTATTCATTTGTGATACAGATTTACAATATCAAACAACTTTTTCTTATTTTTATTTCCAATTTAGGTTTTTCAATTTAACTTATTTTTATGTAATATATGCAATTAAAGATCTTGATAAAGATCGAAATCAGTAAATCAAATCAATATAAGTCGAAGCAATATTTTGACATCAATAAAAAATTTAATCGAGTAAATAATGAATCAAAAAGTGTCAACTTTGAATTGCCAAAAATAGAAAGAAAAAACTGTTTAATTTAAATAATCAAATCTATCAAAAATTGATTTTATAAAATACCTCTTAATGTAATTTTGTCAATAGAATATCAGCATAGTGTGTGTGTGTGTGTGTAATCTGTTATATACATATGTATGAAGACACTAGATTTTTGCTCACAATCTGTTATTAGATTATGTTATTAACAGGATTTACTGAAAGAACATGAGCTATTAATGCAGTTAATATTACAATATTTTGATCAAATTTACTGGTAAACTTCTAGCATGTTACTAGTACTTTGTTTATTAGATGTTGTTTAATCACATTTGCGATTAAACATCATATATTCTCTGATTATATTAGTCTTAAATTACATTTGCATTTTTATATGTAAGATAAAGTACAGATATATGAAAAATTATTTTAACAGAAAAATTCTTAGTTATTTTAATAAAATTAATTTTGGAAACAATTTTATGAAAATTTATAAATAAAATAATTTATAATATAAAAATATTTATTAATTTATATATTTTTAAGGCTGCCAAAAGACGAAAAGACTAAAAAAATTTGGTTTGCATTTATTGGTCGTGAATTAGGTCCAAATAGTGGAATTTGTAGCAAACATTTTAAACAATCTGATTTTATTTACAAAATATACGGACATGGTGTTAGACGATTCCTTAAACAAGGAGCATATCCATCTATATTACATGTCTCAAATATTAGGTAATTTTCATAATATAATATATATAACATTAAAAAAAATATTATGTATTGGTATTTATATAATTTAGGGAAAACGTTGAACTTTCTGGAAACATTAACAATTGTATTTCATCAAGAACTGAAAGAGATACTGATCCTGAAAAAAATATAATAATAAAAGAGGAACTACAAGAATGCATAATTATAGATGAAACTGTAATAAATACAGAGAATTCAATGGATATTCAATTCAAAAGGTTGGTTCACATAATAATCATTTAAATTTTAGTTTTATAAAAGACTTCCCCGTTTTATTTTTAGCGAAACTGACGATCCTTTAATCATTATGGAACATAATACTAACTTGGAAACAAGTACAATATTAGGAAATGAGAGACAAGAATTCATAAATATAGATGAAACAATAAATACAAATTTAACAGAGATACAATTGAAAAGGTTAATTTATACAATAATAGTAACTTAATCTCATACAAATTTTTTATAATAATTTCATTAGTATATAAACATGGGATGATTTGAAAAGACCTTCTCATTTTATTTTTAGAGAAATTGATCCCTTAGCTATTACAAAACATGATACTGACTTGGAAACAAACATAATATTAGGAAATAGAATACAAGAATCTATAAATATTGATGAACCAATCAATACAAATTCCATAAATCAGTTGAAAAGGTTGGTCGCTCTTTCATACATATATATATGATATCTAATAATTTCATCTCTATACAAATTTTTATGTATATTTTAAATAACTGTCTACAAATGTAGAGTAGTATAATAACATTTTTGTTTTATTTTTAGAAAATTAAGTAATTCCTTAGTGACTAGAAAACGCTTCTATAATACAAGATACACTGGAGATTTATGTCAAGAGGATTTCACTTCGGATGAAGCTTGGTATTTATTTAAAAACTATTTAACAAATACAAGAACAAAAATAAAATCTTTGAATCATAAAATTATATATTTAAATAACAAAATCAATAGGCTGCAAAAGATAAATCATTTTTTAAAGATTGAAAGAATGTAGCAGAATATGTATACGAAATTTACCCCCACACCAAATTAGACTTGCTATATGTTGATTGGTATATTTCTTCACATTTTTCTGTAAAAGTCCGGGAAAAAATGATATGGATATATACATATATACATATATATGTATGGACATATACATATGTATATACATATATATGTATATGTCCATATGTCATTTTATATATTTTTATGTGTGTATAATTATATATATTATAAATATATATAATAAATATATTAATACATATAATTTTAATAAATATATATTATTGAAACTTTTCCGGGAGTGCAACTTAATTAAACTGATGATCAGTAAAATTGCAATATTATATTGCGATAATGATAACCACTAAGAATCTGAACATGAAATATTAGAATATAATAACTTTTTTTAATTACTTATGATAAGAAAATTCATATATAGATTGTGCTACACTCTGCACCAAACATGATATATAAAATTTTCTAAATTAATTTTTTAAAAATCTACGTGCATTTAACAAAATTTTGATGTTTGTAATAAAGAAATGTTTTCTATAAAAAAGAATGTATAATATCGTATTATATTACTATAAGCGATCCATTTAACGCTGCAAATGCTTCGTTGACCAATCAGAAAAAAGAATTTTAGAAATTGACCAATCGAAGAATATACTTGCTTCAAAGCATTTATTTGCAGCATGAAATGGAATTGTATGATTCTTTTATTCTCTCATCCAACAATCACAATTATGAATATGCCACATTATTATTTTAGATGATTAATGCATAATAAAGTTTAAGAGTAATACATATAAAGGGAAATTGAAAACAAAAGAAAGATATTTGTACAAAGAGTACAATATAATTCCTCGAAAAGTGATATTTTTTTTAGCTATTAAAAATATAAAATTCCATCTTGAGTTCACAAGATGGAAAATGGTAGTAGATGTTTATATATTTTCTGTATATTTAATGTTAAGGGTTTATTCTAACAATAATTTTTAAACAACACACAATGAACCAAAAATTTCAAGATTAATGAGAGTATAATGCAGTTTATGATACGCAAATATATGTCAGAACAGTATTGTATTACAGATAGGATATCTTCATAATTGATTCCAAATTGAAATTAAATATTTCAACTCACTTTGGAATCCTCTTCAGTAATACAAATACAGTGATATTAAAATAGTTCACCAGTTTATCAAAATAAAGTCACTGATTCCAAAAAGTGAAGTAGTGTCTACTTTGAAAAATTACAATAAGTTATAAAATTGATAATCTAATAATCTAATAATGTATTAGGTATCAAAGTGACTCACACTAACAAACTGAGAACATGTCAAGAAACACTGGATAAATTTATAAACTTAATAATTCCGTAAAGTGATGTGAAAAATACATCGTTGTCAGTACATTTCGCTCTTTCGAAAACTAAATTATAACTGTACATTTGTGTCTATCGAATTGACAAAAGTTGCAACGTAAACAATAATTAAATATATATAAATAAAGAAAAAGAAAATCAATCTATAAATTTAATCAAATAGCACGCGATATCGCATTAATATTCGATACTCATATGGAATGCACTGTTATATATTGAGATATACATCTATACTATATCACAATAAAATTTCATTTCTTATATATTCTTATGATATACTCAAAACATATACCAAATATACTGAGAATATACATAAAATATATTGTGGCTTACTTTTGAGACTTTCACAGATATTTTCTTTAGAGATGTTGAAGGGTTTTATGCGGATCCAACATGGCGAACGAGAATGCTAAAAATGCTTCAATTGCTGTTAAATTTGATATTCAAGGGTTTTTGGAGTCGCTAATTTCGAATCCGAACTCAGAATTTAGAAATTCAAAATGGCGGATCCAAAATGACAACCGATTTTCTATATAATAATCGTCTAATTTTTATTAAATTAAATATTATCTTTATTTTTAGACCGTATATGTGAGAAACACAATCAATACTAGAAATTTAAAATGCCTATTACGGTCGAAGCTGGATCTTCGTTGCTTTTTAAATAATTCAATCTTGAATTACTAATATACACTATATATGTACTTGCATATATATCATATTGTAGTCTTTTTCAAACTGCGCGCCGAATTATTTTTCCGGACTAAATAAACGCAATTAAAACTACTCTAGTAATATATCGCGAATTAAATTGACAAGCAATTTAATAATTTTGATGCTACCATCAAGCATTATATATTATAAAGATGTTAATATATTCAAACTGTTAATAAATTTATTGCGAAAAATATTACCTCGGCCGGGACTTAAACCCTGATCTCTTGTAAACCGTACGAGCGTCCTAAGCCATTAGACCACCGAGGCCATTAGCCTCAATAAATTTATTAACACTTTTAATATATTAACATCTTTATAATATATGATGCTTGATGGTAGCATCAAAATTATTAAATTGCTTGTCAATTTAATTCGCGATATTACTAGAGTAGTTTTAATTGCGTTTATTTAGTCCGGAAAAATAATTCAGCGCGCAGTTTGAAAAAGATTACAATATGGTATATATGCAAGTACATATGTATATAGTGTATATTAGTAATTCAAGATTGAATTATTTAAAAAGCAACGAAGATCCAGCTTCGACCGTAATAGGCATTTTAAATTTCTAGTATTGATTGTGTTTCTCACATATACGGTCTAAAAATAAAGATAATATTTAATTTAATAAAAATTAGACGATTATTATATAGAAAATCGGTTGTCATTTTGGATCCGCCATTTTGAATTTCTAAATTCTGAGTTCGGATTCGAAATTAGCGACTCCAAAAACCCTTGAATATCAAATTTAACAGCAATTGAAGCATTTTTAGCATTCTCGTTCGCCATGTTGGATCCGCCATTTTGAATTTCTAAATTTTGAGTTTGGATTCGAAATCAGTGATCCCAAAAACTCTTAGATACCGAGTTTTATGCCAATCCATCAACATTTTGAATTTTGGCCAAAATTTCGGGTCGTCTGGCCCACTGTGCGAAGTTGTAACTTCGATGTTATGAAATTGGCCAATCATAGCTATTCCTCTGAAGAATGGAATGACTGTGATTGATCAGTTTCATAACATCGATGTTACAACTTCGGCGTAAAGCGTGCCGTGTAAACGTAGTAAATGGCTGCGTTCAGCGGACTCAGTAGTTGAGTGAGCGCTCATTGCTATTGATGTATTCTTTCAGATCTAAAATGCTGATTGGATGATCTAAAAAAATACACCAATAACTCACTCAACTGTTGAGTTCGCTGAACGTAGCCATTTTATCCTTATTTTACGTCTAATAAACATTGAAAATAGAATGACAGAAGTAGCGCTAATAGCGTCTCCCCGAATGCACCATAAGTGCTCCAAAAACACGATCTCTCATTGAGCGCTCAGGGAGCTCTTTCATCTGATTCGTCTATATTTTAGGATTTAACAGTATACACCAATCAGATGAAAGAGGTTAGTGCTTTGGGCCTTTAAAGTTGGCGGATTGGTGTTCCAAAAATCTAGCAACCTTGATCTGGTCATCCTGCTTTGAATTTCTGAACGCATCCCAATTCATGATGTAAAAGAAAGCCTGTGTCAATTATTTATGTCGCGGTAATTTTGTACTTTCCAATAAATACGTAATGATGGCCGTTTAAGCCGTTTAACGGATTATTCGTGAGTACGATGACACGCGTCACATTTTTACATCCCGATCTCGGTATCGGTGGCGCGGAGAGGCTCGTTGTCGACGCGGCTCTAGCATTGAAGAAGAATGGCCACGATGTAAATTTCGTGACAACTCATCACGATCCGGAGCATTGTTTCTCAGAAACTAAGGACGGGACGATTCCCGTTACCGTTGTGGGCAATTGGCTGCCTAGGCACATTCTAGGCAGGTTCTATGCGTTTTGTGCTTATATACGCATGGTAAGAAGTGTAGTCTAACAAGAGATACAAATGACATGGGGTGGGATATAACAAATCATATTTTTTTCATTTGTCAATATTAAATGAAGATAAAATGATTCAGGGCCGATTGTTCTATCTTTTGGTAAAAACCTGTTGGGCAAGTAGCAAGATTACCTAATCACATGTGTGGATTACCAGATTTACCGTACAGGTAAAATTTACCAAAAGGTGAAACAATTGGCCCTCAGTGTTACACTGTACCTCTGTGTCTCTTATTGGAAAGCATCTTGTTAACACTAAAATTATAGTAAAAATAATTGAGAAAAATCTGCTTTAAAAAATATTGATTAAAAGAATTGTCTGTGTTTAGCAGCAAATACATTGTAGAAATAAATTCGTATATTTTTTTGTAGATATATGCAGCCAGCTATATAATATTTAGTGATCACCGGCCAGAAGTTGTTTTTTGTGACTTGGTGTCCATCTGTATTCTCGTACTTAGATTACGCATTCCATATGTAGTATTTTATTGTCATTATCCAGACCAGCTACTCTCATATCCTGGTGGTTATTTTAAACAGCTATACCGTATGCCACTAAATTATCTAGAAGAGATTACAACTGGCATGGCACATAAAATATTTGTAAATAGTTGTTTTACAAGCAATGTGTTCAACAACACATTCAAGAGACTGAAAATCAAACCAGAAATTTTGTATCCTTCCATTAACACGGATTTCTTTGATAAGACAAGAATAGTATCTATAGAGAGGGTAATCGATAGGAAACTTCCAGATGATAGTATTATATTGTTATCTGTCAATAGGTATGAGCGTAAGAAAAAACTGTCTATTGCAATAGAGGCACTTGCAGAGCTAGAGAAACTTTTAACAAAGGAGGTATATAAGAGAGTATTCTTGATTATGGCTGGTGGATATGACAAAAGGATCGAGGAAAATGTGGAATATCACCTGGAATTAATAGGACTTGCAGATGAGTTGCATGTAACAGACAAAATGATATTCTTACGTTCGCCCTCCGACATAGACAAAGTTTCCATAATACATCATTGTAAAATTGTGATATATACCCCACCGAATGAGCACTTTGGAATAGTACCTTTGGAAGCGATGTATATGGGCAAGCCAGTAATCGCTCATAATTCCGGTGGTCCCACAGAATCAATAATTTCTGGAAAAACTGGTTTCTTAGCAGACTTATCTGGCGAAGCATTTGCCACAAAAATAGCTTATTTAATCACAAATCCAAATCATCTTGAAGATTTTGGTAGATTGGGTCAATGCAGATTTTCGGAAATATTTAGTTTCGCTGCTTTTAGTGCTCAATTAAATAAGGCGATAAATGACTTGACTGATGCAAAGACGAAATAAGATAAAGAGAAATATTTAAGATTGTTTTTAATTTGTTTGCATGATGTATCTACAACTCTAATTAAATAAGGAGATAAACGAGTATATAATTTTTTAATATATTTATTTTATATATATTTCATATTAATTAAATATACTTGATTTAAGAGAGATGTACGTTTTCTGCTTTTATTTAGCCTAAACTGCTTAGTTTATTTAATTGTGTTCTATAAAAATAAAATTTACTATATATTCATAGGTATATCAAAAGATACAGTTGTGTAACACGTAAGGTTTACGTGCAATGGTACAGCAGAATTTGTCTAAATTTGGCTGTCAATTAAAATTTTCTTATGAAATCGTTTGTATTTCGTATAAAAACTTTTGAAGCATAATTAAGATTTAATAATCATGTAGATCATTTTCATTGATTATTTTTATATTATGCAGTTAATCAATATGAAGTTTTTGAAATTCATGTATTTTATATGAAGAATTTTGAAGTATAATTGAAAGAGTAAATTCAATAATTGAATTTTCTTACGTCTTGTATTAATAAAATTAAGCTCATTCAACATGTTTTTACTCGCAACTTTTTTGAAGAAGTCAAGTATATCTTTGCCGAAACACTGCCGTGTTTCTTGATAAAATTAGAAACTACGTTAAAGTTAAGAGCAGTTAAAAACTAAAGGATGTCATAGAGAACTCTTCGTCTGGACAAAAGGAAACGGGAACTCTAATCAGAACTATGGAATTTCAATATTGGGGTGCTAACTTAACATACGCCAATAGTACGTATGACATCATTAATACATCACAGGTTTCCACTTCCACCTTATTTCCAATTGCTTCCAATGCTACTGCTTGAAGAGGTAGGCTGCGGTCCACTTGCTTCTTCCAAATGCTCTGAACGTTACGCTCCAAACGCTACGCTCCGATTGGTCCATTACTATTTCGAATGATACAATTGCTACGTGAACGCTCCAGCCAACCCACCTCCCGAGGTGAGGCAGTTGAAGCGAAGTGGGAGCAAAAACGATGACGTATTGATGACGTAATCAGAGTGGCTGGGAGCGTTCCGAAGCATCAAATGGACCAGTCATGTCAGTGCTACAAATGCTCTGTAGCGTTTGAAGCGCTAAGTGGACCGCAGCCAAAGTTTAACTGAAGCGTTTAGTTTGAATATACAAAGCGCGGGAAAGCATAATAATAATCGAACGAAAGTATATCTGTAAAGCTGATTTTTAAATTTACATATTATTATATCGTGGCATCGTGCTACATATATTACTACAAATCGTGCTGTATGGTATATTGTGTATATTACATTATTAAAAATAAAAATTGTATAAACTATGCCGATTATAAGGTTACATGAAGGAGATACTGGAATGATTCATAATCTAGAAGTTTCCGAAGAGGATGCTATTATCTTCATCATAAATATAAGTAAGCGATTCTAAAAAAAACTTCACAGCGCACGTTAGCATGACTTTCATTTTATCCGTAATTGCAAAATACGTACTAACGTTTTCAAACGCTTCAAAAATTGGTCCATTTACATTAGTAATGCTGTTGGCAGCATTAGTAATGCTAATGGACCGTTCTATAGAAGCATATAAAAGTGAAAACGTTTGAAGCGTTTGTAGCGCCAAGTGGACCGCATCCAAAGACATAGGGCCCGTATTCAGAACGCACTTTTATCGATAAAAGCGCACTTTTATCTCTGAAATTCTATAATATACGTGACGTAAAGTATAGTATGTTAGCGTGCTAACATCGTTGTAAGCGCGTTCTGAATACGGGCCATATATTGTAAGTATTTTTCAGGAATGACAGGTAACGCGTTACTTGTAACGTCGTTACTTTTTTTATTGTTACTTATTGTTAGTTATAATAACGATTTGATAATAATTGAGTATACAATTGAGAAAATACAATGTATGAAATCCAGACTTCAATACGGTCGTGCAAAGCTTTCTATAAATAGGAAACTGGAAACTAATGTAAAATTTTCGTAACAATTTTTTCCATCTTTTCAGTCAAATGTTATTAATTATATTTAAAAATGTCACTAAAAATATCAAAGAAAAAATATCATTGAGAACTACAGAACAGTAGAACAGTTTTATATTATACATATATTATGACAGTCCCCTAGACTGATTTAAGTTAAAGGGATATCCGTTTATTTTTTAGTAAAATTAAGAATATATATCAACGGATAAAACATGAAAAAGACATGAATAAATGAGATTGAAAAAAATGTATGAAAGTGGAACGAAAGTATTCTGAAATATTGCAAATAATGTGAAAATTTTTATAAACTTTGAGAAACCATATAATAGTTTGTATACTTATCACAAACACACACACACAGTACATGATGTAATTAATTGTTAAATTATCTTTACTCACTGTCTATTTACATATATATGTATGGATATTATTATATTTCGTAACACTTTATCGGTAATAGCACTTTGGTACATCCGTAAAATAATTATTGCTAAAATAGGAAATTAATACGTGGTAATTGATATTTTTCCAACTAATAAAACACATAGATATTATAAAAGAAAAGGGACGAAAAATTCGTTCTATTTTAATCTGTTGTTATCAAGGTTCCGGATGCTCTATTTCAAAAGAATGGATGTTATATTTTTCTACAGAGTAATCAGTGAGAATGAGTTGAAGCTAAATGGTTATTATTTTGCAACAAGAGACGAACGAAATTTTGTAGAGAAAACTTTCCAATTTTATTGCCACATTTACGAAAAATATACGTTATTATTTAACAATTAAAACATGAAAAAAAGCATTAATATGCTTGTGCGCATGAAATAATGGTATATGTTTTAAAATGTTGTCCATCGGAATCTAAATGAAATTAAATAAAGAATCGCTTTTTTCATGAAGAATTATTAAATTCTTTCTTAATACAAGGAAAAGAGAATTAGTTAAGGAATTCCATTTTATGCAAAATGGCGCGACCCCATCCCGTATACGCATGCATATTTTTGGTCCTATTTTTGTAATGTTTCTATTGTTAACTAATTACACATTTTTAATTTATTTTGAGCTATAATGAAACAATATAATGTTAATAATATGAAATACCAACAATAAGTGCATAAAATACAAGAACGTTAATAATATTAATAATATATATAGAATGATTAGTAATATTTAATTAAATGAAGCAAAACTAAAGACAGAAAATATATGCAGAAAATAGATGCAAGTAAAGACGTAATGAACGCTGTTTAGCATGAGAATAAAAAATAAAAAATAGCAAAATTTATGTAATGGAATATTCATTATTTAAACATAAAACATTTATAGCGAATTCGATTGGGCGCACTCAGTGCGCACTGATGCACATTAAAGCCGTCGTACACAAAATAACGTAAAAATATGCTTATACGTAAACATAGAAATCGATTAAATCCTGAAATACTCAATACATTTTATTGTATTATTATAGGTAAAATATGTATTTTACAATTCGAAATATTTGCAATTCACTTTTATACTCAAATTAAATCAGTGTACAACAGCTTTAATATGCACCAGTGTGCACTAGTTCTTCCAATCGAATTCGCCATTAGTTACAGTAGTACTTTATTTTATTTTCAACTCATACGAATCACAGACAAACGTATAGAAACTCAAATTAACTTAAGGAACATTTACAAACTGAAAATGTTCTATATGTCTGTTAATTTCGGACAATCGTGTTTGTATCTTATGTTGAATACTTGAAAGTTGATTCTCACTTATGTAGTATCCCACATTTTTCAGTTCATCGGGAAACTGAAACAAATATATTTTACAATTAGGAGATGAAAGCCTTGAACAGATAAGGTTTTTAGTGATTTAAAATTTAAATAAATATTTCGGTGTAAATTTTTGTAAGGAAAAGATTGCAAACATTGCAATCTTTCTAAAGCTTCATAATTAATATTTGCCTGGTTACCCCCACCCCCTAAAATTATGCGTATGTATAACAAATATCATTATCTTAAAATAGTAAAAGTTTCAAAAAAGTCTTAAGAAAAGTCATTTTTAAGTAATGTGTTTGCGATACAACTACCTAAAACTGAAAATTAAATTCAGTGCAATTTGCATAATGTGTATATAAATTCACACTAAATTATTTAAAGACAGCTTTATCATTTAATACCTTCATTTCATAGTTGTTATGTACTTACATTATGGTCTAAAAAAAATACATCATTGAATATTAAAATAAACATTATTCTCAAGAATAAAAAAAACAAAGAGCAGTTTTGTAGGAACGTATATATTATATTACGAACATTAGTTATTAATAAGAATTTTTAAAGAAAGCTAATAAATAAAACGAATATGAAATTTGAATTAAATTTACTTGCCTGGCTCAGAATTGGTATGGAATACACATAATTAATAATATCTGTTAGTGCTGTTAACGTATTAATTTCTCTAGAAAATCAATTCAGACAATTATAATTTTATATAATAACTTATTGTTATTAAAAATGAAGTATATCTATATTTATAAAAAAACCTCTTACTTTGGTTTTATTTTTACCAAGTTCAATAATATCTTTCGAAGTATGTTGTAGGTATTAGCATGCTTACTGACAATTGAATGAAAAGTGTTTATATGAGAACGAATAACCGCAACATCTTCCCTTTGATTTTGTGTAAATCGACTAAAAAATAGATCTGGCAGATATTCTGTAAGTATCGATTCGGATTCACAACAAGCTAAAAATGGTAACAGATCGTGATCAGGTTTTAAGAACCATATATTCTTTGCCTTGTCCCACATGGAATAATCAGCATGATGGCATAATATAAAACCTCTGCAATATGTCCAGTGCTTCCACTCTGATGAAACTCTACGGTTTTTTAAAAAGAATAAAAATACATAGTACATAGTAGTACATTCATTAAAAAATGTTGCTTATATATCTTAACAGACAATTTGTTAAGGCGTGAATCACAAATAGTTTCGATTACCCACAGAACCTTGCAGCAACATTGTTGTAACACGTTCAACATTACAGCAATATTACTAGTACGTTTATACAGTGTTAATGCAATATTGCTGGCTTACTTTGTGCTGTATGGGTAAAGATCTTTTATATTTATAAAATAGTATTACGGTTCTATTTCAGGATTCTGAAGATGGTCTCCTAACGTATCTTCGGCCAACCTTGCGCACTGATTATGTTTGAGCGTACAAGACCATTTTAATATTTCTTGTTTGAAAGATTCAGTAAAGCCATTTTCCATTAGGTGTTTTCTAAGTAGTATTGCCATTACTGGCTTATCCAATAATTCTCTAAATTTTGCCTAAATCACATAAACTTTAGGTCTATCTATTATAATTAGATACGTTATCGTAGATAGCACAGATGATCGTTATAAATTCCAAAAGGTTACATCTTTCTACATTTTTTCTATAATAATCCATTCGAAATAAATTCGAAAAAAATCGAATATCCGCAAGCACGGTAAATAGAATTAAGTAACGAAATACAATTCTTATAGATAAAAACCATACAGAGTAGAAAAGAAGCAAAATTATGAAACTTTTTACCCAACATATTCGAGTGAAATGAATTTTTGAATGCGAGTTCCCAAAACAAAGTTTCTATGATGAAAGTAAGTGTTTCGATATACATCAAGAAGTATATCGATCATATAACTTATTCCTAGGGCGGAAATGTGAATATTTTTTGTACGTGTGTCCATATGTATACATATATACATACAAATTTTCACTTTTGAAGTTTCCACCCTAGGAAAATGTTTTCACGTTTCCGCTCTAGAGAGAAAGTTAGATAATGGGTATCCTGTACTAATAATCTGTAGCGTACTTCGTAACATGATTCATATTTTCAGGATTGGTAGTCCTGTAATCAATAAAGGATTGAAATGGATTCAGATTTTCAGAAATATGCATTCGCGAACGTTAAAACAAATCCTTTTCAATCAGGATTGCATTTTTATTTGTTTATAAGAATTGCATGAAAAAAGCACATTTTTGTGCCTTCCAATCTGAAAACAATATCCGCTTTTTCTGTGCATCGTGAAGACTGTTTAATTCAAAATTCTGAATTGAAAATTCAATCCTTTAATCCAAATGTATTCAATTGAATTTAATTGAATCCAACTGAATTTGTATTGAATCCAATTTAATCCAAATAGAGATTTTCTGTATTTAAAACATGCATTAGGATAGATAAAATTTCAAATCCATTTTAATCCTTTCTTGTTTACTGGGAGTGTATATCTGAACTCGATGTAAATGGGATATATTTTGTCAATAGATTTTTGTGTATTTCTATTAAATATTAATTTCACCGACATAATATTCTGGAAAGTTATGTAATTGTGTTTTTTTAGAGTACTATCTAAAAACTATTTCGACTTTAGTGCGAATTCTTATAGACTATAACTTTTATATACCTGAAAAGAAGCAGAGAATTAGCGTTTTTAAATAAAAAATGGAACGTATGAACGCTTTTCATAATTAGGCATTTTAGAAAAATTATTTTTTTCAATTTTCTGTGCTCTCTCTGCATGATATGTGTACACGTCTTAATATTTTTTAGACAATTAGTATCTTGAAGATAATAGATACGCATATATATATAACAAATTATTTAACGTGCACAATACTAACAAAAACAGAATTATTTTTTTTCATTTTCTCATATTTAATTTCAAAATAAAACTAATAAGTTGCCGTCTGATCCCTTAAGTAAGCAGTTTATTTTTACAAAATTATTTACCAGTTATCGATATAAAAGCATAATTTATGTTTAATATTTATTAAAAATAATCTACTGTTCATTATCCTAATATTAATTGAGAAAATTTGATATCCAAAAAATGCAATATTTAGATCATAAAAGCGTGACAATACTTTGTTCTTCCATTACTTATTTCTTTTTGCCTCGTTTTATTTCAAATTGAGTTAATAAATAAACGTAATTGAATCATTTTATTAACATAATCATGCTACAATCCAAAATTGCTCAACAGTTATTGATATAAAAAGTAAAAACAATATGTTTTCGCACTTTTGCTAGTAACTGATAGTTTTCGTTAAATATAATCTGAAAAAACTAGGCAGATCGCGTAAAGATACATGGCCGGTCTCGCGCTAACAACACGGTGCGCGTGCTCTTATCGCGAGACACTACTTATCACTAAATACGTACTGATCGTTATACCTTAATATCGTCGATGAACTTAATTTCGTCTTCTGGAAACGGAAATATAGTGGACATATATTCGAACACTTTAATCATTGGATACCATACTACATAATTTGTCTCTTGTGATAAGAATTGCGTGAGGTTCCAAAATATAGATACGTCGAGCTGATGTTCCATCATCAAATGAAACGCATCATCAATGATTTTAGCACGATTGATGACACTAATTCCTTCATATTCTCCAGCTGTTGAATTTAAATAATTTGCAATTGCGTTCCAGCCTTTTAAATTATATTTGACACGATAATATCCTATTCATGGAAAAAAATGTTATCGTATGTATTATAAAGTTTTATCGTACTGTATTATGTGGATTTTATGGATTTGATAATAAGAGAAATACTATTTTCATTTTTTTTCTTCTATCTTATGTTAAGAGGATCCTGAAGTGAATCTGTTCTATCAATTTCTTTAAATAAGTACTTTTCTAACTGCCATTACAGATTAGAAAATACGTCTCCATAATTAAAGTATAAACGATAATGTAGCCCAAATCGGTCGATCATACGCCACAAACGAAATAAGTTAGGAAATTACAGTTTTGTTATCGACTTTTAACATCGACTCGAAATAATATTTGCTTCATACGTGTTTTATACTTCGTACCTATAAAACAATCTTGATTCGGACTAGAGATTACATGAACACTCAAAGTTGAGTACTTAGTATTAGGTTTAGGTACATAATACGAAAGATTAGTTAGTTAGAAAATTCCCAGATAGCTAAGTCTGTATAAAACAGATTTTTTAAATGTCTCCTACATACTATGCCAACAAAATATCAACAGAATTGTTACAAAATTAGATGTATATAATACTGTTGACGACTGCTGGAAGAAATGTAACAAAATCTGCAAGCAGGAGTAAATGGCAGAGGCTGGAGAAAGAAACAGAGCAGATTTACGATTTAATCTGACAGTGTATTGTCTATAGAAACCAAGCAGATCCTTTCGACGTCACCTAGAACTAGATTGTCAGAAGATCCTACTCTGACACATCTTGACAGCAGATTTTTGACAGAAACGCAGCAGATTCTGCTGACATCTGACGTGTCAGAGCAGGATCTGCGTGGTTTTAGTGACAGTCTAGCGTCAGATACTGTCGACGGGATCGGCTCAGTTTCTGCGAACAATTTGCTTTCACTTTATGTCGACAGGCGATGTTAACAAAACACAAGCTTTATGCGGACGCAGTTGGTGATAGACTGCCGTCATTTCCTGCTCGAACCTGCTGACTGTCTGCTAGAAGACTTCAGACATTTTGCTATCTGGGTTTTACGTATGTGTGAGTGTGACATTGATGTAGTAATATATAAAGATAGATTGATGTGTCGTATTTTATCGAAACAAGAGCTATCACATCGGAGTTCAGGGTTTATTTTAGGATCTCTCTCTTTGTTAACAAAAATTCGAAGATTTGTTAAAAAAAATTCTACATTTTTCTATGGAAATAAATTTTTGCAAATTATTGCAATTCTATGTTTTTTAGGTTGCTGATTATAAAGCTGATGTAGATTTAAAAAATTTGAAATAATAGATCCAACATGTCCTCCACATGCATCAATTTGTCTGAATAAATGTAAATTAAATTCACGATATAAAAGGATTTTAAACTGTAAACAGAAAGGTAAAGGCCTAAACCTTAACATCAGAACTTCCCAAACTGATGTAATAATACACTAATAATTGGTTTATGCATAACCTATAACTTTATGAATATATATTATATA